CATCCTGGTCGTCCTCATGAATACTCATCTCGACATGATATGTATAATCATTCTCGATATTCACATGATGTTAGGTATCCGCCTCATGAAAGTTTACCACATTATGGTCAAATTGCTACCTCTAACTCACCAAGTCTTGCGAGTAAAAAATCTATACAACCATCTACAACATTACAATCTCAAGATTCAACTCATCCTACACGTTCTTTGACAACAACTTCGATATCACCGATTCATGGAAATCGAAACATGGAGTACGTTCAATATGATCATACACGTCGATCATATTCTAATGATCAATCATCTGATGAAAATTCAGGATCAGTGACGCCTTCTAGTGTAACATCACCCCAACAATCTTCAGCTTATAATGGGGGACCCATGGCTCCAATAGCATCGCGTTCTACAACATCGTTAGTATCGTTACCTTCGTTGACTCCTTTAAGCATTTCCGATCGCACTGACCAATATGCAAGTAGTTCCACCAATAGTCAAAATCACCTGTCATATCAAAATTCCTCAAATATCATTTCACAGCAAAAATCATCATTGCAACGATCACAACATTCATCATTTGAACTACCTTGGGAGCGAAGGAAGGAATAAATGGAGAAAAAAGACCTTTTCTATAAACATTTACTGTTTGAAATCTGCAAATGCGTTTACGCATTAGATAGATTAAATAATTTTATCATAATAGTACCAGATACACTTTTTGATTGGTTATATCACGTGGATGGATTCATAAGAGGATTTTCATATGATTGGCTGATTGTTATTAGAATAATAATAATCCCCATTATCTTAATAATGAATCTAAATTCCGTAATAAAAAAAATATACATATCGGCTGATTTGAGAAATCAATATAAAAATGCATCCGACCTTGAATAATTTTTAATATATGGATCCATTTTGAATTATTTACCGTCAAAAATTTTCGTCTCAATGAGACAATTCTAATAATATAAAATCAATTTCTAATCACTGGATCGAGATCGTGAAAGATCGATTTTTTTCCGAATAGGGTGCACTAATGAATTTTTATATAGTTTTTAAATATAAAATCTATTAGCAGAAAAAACACTAATATTTCACGATCTCGGAATCCAGTGACTGGATTTTGATGATTTTAGGCTTATCAGAATTGTCTCATTGAGACGAACATTCTGATGGTAAAATCAGATCTATATATCATTTTATAGTGATTCCTCAAAATAGCCGATGTGAAATTTTTATAATAAACATTTTTTCATATTATGTGCTAATCGGTATTATTTATACAATTTAATTCAAGCTTTACAGTTTTTTATAAATAAGTTTATAATAAGCGAGAAAATTCGCCTCCAATTACAATATAACTTTTTTTCAAACTTGAAAGCTCCAAAAAAAAACAAAAAAAATATATATATACAAAAAAAAAATTTTTTTAAATAGCGCTTAATATGACTGTAAGGTTAAAAACCATGTGACTATCCTATGGTTATTTGACAAGTAAACATGAATACGTATCAGGATA